GGAGTGGATAGTTGGATAGGTTGCCATTCGCATGGGAATCCTAATCCTAAAAGTGCTTATGTATTTTAGCTATTTTTCTTGTTGATTGTAAAATGTTTTATTATGTATTGTTTTTATTTTTCCGTTATTTATTTTCTTGTTTTTATTAATGTTGGTTGTTGTGTTGAGGACTGCAGATGCAAATTAGCCATAGGCTAAATTTGGTGCAATGCATCAAATGTTTTTATGTTTGTTTCAATTGCACATTGTCCTCATAAATAAAATTCATTCATTCATAATTAAATAAAATACAACCGGAGCTGCAATGAAACGCTTTAGATTGAAGCTTATTCGTGTGTAAGAAAGATCCAAAGTCAAAACCTGAATCCAACTAAGAATCTGTGGGAAACCTGTTGTTACAACAGAAAAAGCTGCTTTCAGGTGGGCTGAATATTTTCATTTTCTTTACTTCACAAATATATCCTGCTTTCTGTTGCTCTGTCACATAACACCTCTGTAAAATACTTTGTTTTTATTTGTAATCTAAAACATGGAAACAGTTTTTCAGAGCTCTGCAGGGACCCTCCCACCTGACTCCAGCCCCCCCTGCTCTCACATAGGTCTGATTCCTTCTCCCTCCTGCTCACTTCTGACCAGGAGTTAAAGATGTGCTGGACCTCTGCAGCCCTCCTGGCTCTCCTCGCCGTGCTTCTGGCCCTGAACTGTGAGTCTAATGTAGGAGAATTCAAACTCAGCAGGATCTTCTGCAGAAGTGACGACGTTTCGTTGTTCTTGTTTTCTTCTGCAAAGCTTTGGGTTTTAATTTAGACTTCTGTCCTCAAACGCAGCGTCCCCACAGGCCGAGTCTGCAGCTGTGCACAGCAGCACAGGAACTGCCAAGAGTTCCCGAGGTGAGGAGGAACATCAGCACGTCTTCTGCTGGGAATTTTCACTGCTTTGTTTTTAAAATCCCCTGAATGTTGAGCTGAATCTGCTGCAGGTCCGCCGTGGAGAGTCTTCATGAAGGAGTCTGACGCCTCAGACTTCTTCAGGAGGCGCAGCAGGCGAGCTGCAAAGTCTCAGGATGAGATCAACGGTGAGTTCAGTCAGGTGTGTGTGTTCTAGCAAATGTTACCTTGTAAGGTCCATGTTTCCAAAATTTAATACTGCCTTGTGGGGGATGTACTGCTCCTTGTAGGGACCAAATCCCTGAACCCATAAGTTCAAATACTTCAAAAGTTTTTGTTTCAGGGGTTGGGTTTAGGGTGAGGCTACAGAACGGGAATGGAAGTCAATACAAAGAAGATGGAAAGACTTGATGGGGACCATGCATTGGCGTAATTTGCAGGGGGGCTAGGGGGGTTATGACCCCCACAATAATTTGATCCAGTCAATATAACCCCCCCCCCCCCAATAAAATTACATAATTTTCTCAAACAAAATAAAAATGAACTGGTTGACAGATGCAAATCTTTTGATCTTTTGTTGTCTTTTTGTAACTTTAACCTTATTAAAAATTTACAATGTCATATTTGTACATTTAAGCATAATTGCCTAAAATGACATGGAGGGTTTTAGTACTTAACACCCCCCAAGACCTGAAGTTATGTCCTTGGGACCATGGTGGAGTTTTGTTTCTGGGTTGGAGGCTAGGTTTAGGGTCAGGGTTAGAATATAGAAATGAATAGAAGTCAATTCATTCACAAAGTCTCTGTGAAGATGGAAAGAATCAAGATCTGTGTGCGTGTGTGTGTGTGTGTGTGTGTGTGTGTGTGTGTGTG